AACCTATCACGCGCCTCCTAAAAGCCTTGACAACTTATTGCAAGATTCAACATATTTATCAATCCTTTAACAATGGTAACATCAACCAAATTTGAAATCAAAGCAGGATCTAAAACAAAGATTCTATTTGAAACCCCATTTATTGTGTCACAAATTTTGGAGTTGAACCAACTAAAGACAGTAGAGAACCAATTCAATGATGCATTTGTCCACCAATTTTAAATATATATGGACTAGGTTTTCTATTGATATCTACATCAAACTTACCACCAATCAATGTAAATTAAAACATCGAATTGTACTTTTTAATATTCTCTCTAAATATAGCAACTTCCCTACCTTAAGCATAATCCAACATCGAATCCAAAAAAAGAAGAGTGCAATTAAAATGTTGTAATTTAACACTACATTCCTTGTAGCAGAGATTAAACCAAGGAGCACATTTTCTATTAATCATCAGAACATTTTCTTTGAGCCACATTCATGCATCACAATGATTATGAACTTGATTTAAACCACTAAGATTCAATGGCTCAAAATATTTTTCTAAACATCAAATATAACAAGGAAACCAATAAATAAAACAAATAAAACATCCGTCAAACTAAAATAGGCAAAAATAGATAATAATAACAATAATAATAATAATAATAATAATAATAATAATAATAATAATAATAATAATAATACAAAAATAGATAAAAAATCTTAAAATTAAAATCAACGAAAAAGCCAACAAAATAATCGAAATAAAATGAAAGCAAAAAAACCCATTATTGTCACCTTCAATCACTTGACACATGCATATTAGAGTTTTCATCTTTATCATCAAAAGCAAACAATGAATCAAAATTTAACACCAACATATGAACAGATTCTTTTAAAAGTGATAAAAACAAAAAATATATACAACAATTAATACTAACCTGCATTTGTATGAGTAGATTGCACATAAAAAAAATAAAGAATTAACACATAGTAATGAATGTTGTTCAACATATCCTATAGATAAATGATCAACACATTGATAATCAAAACGACTAGCAATTGAAGTAGAACTTGATGGGTAATGATCTAACCTAAAAACCACAACAGGCACAAAAGGAGAACGAAGGGGAACCTCGTTAATTGAAATAGCTTAAATATCTCATTGAGCATCAATAGTAGAATATACACTTATGTGCTGCATTGTTCTTCGACTTTTAAATATAGTCGAACCATTTAACTTATCACCAGAAGTGGAATCCACTTGTGATAATTTATTCATCAATTCATTGAATTGAATATTTGTCGATAACATAAGAAAGAAATTATGCAAAACTAAATTTCAACCATTATGATCTCTATAACGTCTAAGCACATTTAATCTATTTAATCTATTAATTTTTCATATCTCATGCTCATCCATAATTCATATAAAAAATAACAAAGAAATTGATAATCAAGTATATATAAAAAGGAAAAAATAAATTGAACACAAAAATAATAAATATAAAAAAATAGAAATCATAATAAAATCAATAAAAAAACTTTCAGAATAAAAGATTAATAATAATGCATAAACAATTAGGAAACGGAAACCCCTAATAAAAGAAAGCAAATAAAAAGAACACAACAATTCATATAAACAATAAAAAAATAGTTAAATCCAATAAGGAAACACATATATAAACATTAAATTAAAATATATAACATAAACAAACCAATATAGCAAACACCAAACAATAAACAAAATGCAACACTAAAGACCACCGACTAATACATAATTAAAAGATAAACAATCGTCGCAAACACAATTAAAATCCAAAGATAAACAATCGCTTAAAAAAATGAAACAAAAAAGGCAAAAAGAAAAATCTATCAATTTATGGAGTAACATTCAAAAAATTAACTTTAAGATTCTTTGATATATGTTTTTTGTTTCAAGAATTCCAACAATTGGTATCTTATTGTTATTGTTTCAATTTTGTAACTATTTAATCATATTTTTTCAGAATATTTATAAATAAATACCTACATAAGCAACACAAAACCTTAAAGATTAAAAAAGCTTAACAAATCATCTAACATGACAAATAAATTAGATTTGAAAAATAAAATAAATTGTTCAACATTGATTTTTATGAGTAACTGCATAACAAATAATCAAAAGCAAATCATAAATATTCAAATCAATCTAAATGCATTAATGAAGCTAAAGAACAAATAGAAAGAAAACAAAATGCACATACCCAATAAACCAACCGAATAACAAATCCAATGATGCAATAAACATAGCACTAAAAAAACATAGCACATAGAAAATACACCTGCAATAACAACAAAGAAAATGAAAATATTCAATACAAAGAAGTAGATACATAAAATAAAAGAAACGGGTAACTAAGTATCAATTACCTTATGGTATATGACATCAGTTATAGTATGAATTATGGTAAAAAAAAATAAAAGAACTATTAGGAAAAATGACTTTACAACAATCATGAAAAAGCAAAAAAGCATGAAAATCATACTAACCATGATATCCTTTTAAATCACAAAATATATAAAGGATAACGAAACTTGGTGACCACAAATAAAAAATTCACTAAATCACTAACATTTTGCAAAAAAAAAATAAAAAAACAAAAGAGTGACAACAACAGAATCATGGGAAACAAAATGTACAAATATCAAGGATAACAAAATCATGAGAAAATGAAGAAATAAGCAATAACCCAACATACCAAGGAGAAACAGAAGCCATAAAGAATAAATAACTCAAAAAATTCAAGAAAAACATAATGAATCACGGGAGACATTCCTATAAAAAAATCCAATAAAAAAATAAAATTTCAATTCAAAATAGCATAACGGAGAAGCAAATTCTCAAAGCACCAAAATCAAATAATAGTCATATCAAGAAACAATAAAATCAAAAGAGAATAGAAAATAAAACAAAGAAAAACTAGTAAAACAAAAAGTAAAGTAGAAAAAAAAAACATAGAAAAAGTTTTGACATGGAACAAAACCAAAGAAATGTGATACTTTAATTCTAACCACTACATTTCTAACTCAAGAAACACAGTATTTATTATTTGAACATCATGTTTCTAACATAAGAAACGGATAAAAACAATTCTTATATCTAGCTTTTTTATTCATTATCGACAACATTTCAAAACAAAAAGACATGGCCTTGGATAAATCTTTAAAGATGTTGTCAAATTAATAAACGTGGTGTTTGTAACCAAAAGCTACACTTTTAAGTGTCATAAATAGTTTTGCAAAAATTACATCAATTACTATATTACTCACATTATAAACGTGGTTGATATGAAAACATTTATATTGGGAGACTACCACATGTTAAATCAAACTCAGCAAAGCATGAGTCAAATGATCCACTATGTTTTAAAAAACAAAAATGTTACATTTTCAATAAAAAAGAATTAAAAAAATATAGAATTGCAACCATCCACCATGTTTGTTTCCAAATCAATGTTCAAAGGTTACGAGGACAATTTTATCAATATAGATTTACTATATAAACCTTTCATTAATCGTTCTCTTATCCTTACTTCAGTTAAATCAAGGAAGAACTACCTTTCTTTTTTTCTCAAATATTTTTAGAAAATAAAAAAAAATAAAAAAGAAAGGAAAACCATGAAATAGCCATGTAGCACTTTAGAAAAAAAAAACTAAAAAGCAAAAAAGGAAGAAAAGCCACAAAATAGCTATGTGGCATTTCTAATGAAGAGTCTTGTGTTCCATACATTCATAAAAGATTCAAGAAATATGGCATTTATTCTTTGAACACCATGTTTCTAACATAGGAAACAAAGTAAAAAGAATTCTTATATAGAAACTTTTTTATTCATCATCAACCATAATTTGAAACAAAAAGACGTGATCTTATAAAATCACCAAAAACATTTTTGAATTAATAAATGTCGTTTTTGAATCGAAACACTACACTTTTAAGTATCAAAAGTATTTATTTTTTTAAAATTATATCAATCACTATGTTACCCATAGTATAAACATAGTTGCTATGAAAACATCTATATTGGAATACTACCATGTGACAAATCAAACTCAGCAATATAAGTCAAATGATCCACTATATTTTAGAAAACAAAAACATTATTTTGTAATAAAAAATTAAAAGAACATATAATTACAATCATCCACTATGTTTGTGCTCAAATTAGTGTTCAAAAGATTACAAGGATAACTTTATCAATATAGATTTAACACCTAAACCTGCCACCAACCCCTTTCTCATCCTCACTTAAATTAAATCAAGGAACAACTACCTATCTCTTTTTCTCAAATATTTTTAGAAAATAAAAAAAAAAAGCAAAAAGGAAAGGAGAACCATGAAAAGCCATGTGGCACTTTAGAAAATAAAAAAAAAAATGAAAAGCAAAAAAGAAATGAAAATCATGAAACAGCTACGTTGCACTCCCAATGAAAAGTCCTGTGCTCCACACATTCATAAAAGATTCAAGAAACGTGATATTTATTCTTTGAACACGACATTTCCAACATAGGAAATAGAGTAAAAAGAATTCTTATGTAGAGCATTTTTTATTCATCATCAATTACGTGTCAAAACAAAAAGACGTGATCTTGTAAAATCATCAAAGATGTTTTTGAAATAATAAACGTGGTATCCTAATGCTACACTTTTAAGTATTAAAAATATATATTTTTTAAATTATATCAATCATTACATTACCCACAGTATAATGTGGTTTGTATGAAAACATTTATATTGGGAGACTACCATGTGGCAAATCAAACTCAGCAAAATATGGGCTAAATGATTCACTACGTTTTAAAAAACAAAAACATTATGTTTTTTTAATAAAAAGAATTAAAAAAAAAAAAAAACATAGAATTGCAATCATCAACCATATTTGTGCCCAAATTAATGTTAAAAAAGCTACGGGGATAATTTTATAAATATAGATTTACTGTCCAAACCTTACACCAACTTCTCTCTCGTCCTCAGTTCAGTTGAATAAAAGAACAATTACCCATCTCTTTTTCTCAAATATTTTTAAAAAAAAATAAAAAGAAGAAAGGAGAACTATGAAACAACCATGTGGCATTCTCAATGAAGAGTTCTGTGCTCCTTACATTTGCAAAATTTATCTTATGGATTCTATTCTATCACATTGAATTTTGACTCCATATACAATTTAGTAACAGAGTAAGGCATATCCCCTGCTTCTTGCACACATCTATGCTTATTGCCGTGTACCCCTGATGCTGAGCAGGATTCTCCTCATTTTGATGCCCATAGAAGGTAATGGAACAGGTCTAATACTTAAAGAGGAGAAGCAGAAAACAACAGGTTATGGAACATCTTTGAATGGTGTTTAAAAGAAATATGTTTTCGTCTACGTATGAAAACAATGGAAGGGAAGTAAACGAGTATCAATCTATCTTCCAACTACCATTGTCACAGTAACATCATTTGAAGATACAATTTCTTGACCATCCAAAATATATTCTGCATCTATGGAACTACTCATGGAAGTATAATCGGGTGGTCTTGGCATTGGGCGTGTTGGAGTTTCACTCTCGAGCATTAACACAACGGCTGCCATTGTTGGTCTATGCATTGCAGAATCTTGCACACACAGCATGCCTATATGTATGCATTTCAACACTTCATTTGGAGAGCATGAATCCTGAATGGAAGGATCGATGAGATCCATTGCTTTATCTTCATTCCAAACACGCCATGCCTGAAACCAGTTGAATAAAATCCATTTAGCATTTCAGCTTCAATAGCTGATAAGAAAAAGTTTTTCAAGTTCTTGTTTCAACAGTTAGCTTGGCTGCATATGGTGCATTTGTACTTACATATGTTATAAGACTTGTGTGCTTAGATGAACGAAAGCTAATATTTCTCCGGCCACTGATGATTTCTAACAATAATACCCCAAAGCTATACACATCGGACTTCACTGAAAATAGGCCTTCCATTGCGTATTCTGGAGACATATATCCACTGCATTTTAAGAAATGAAAGCAAGGATTATATCTGTCAAGCTATTGAGATTGTCTGAAAGTTGAGCTTTCTGTTAACATCTAATTGTGTAGAGCTTACTATGTGCCAACTACTCGAACTGTATTTGCTTCATTTTGGTTACCCCCAAATATTCTGGCCATGCCAAAGTCTGAAATCCTTGGATTCATTTCTGCATCCAACAAAATGTTGCTGGCCTTTAAGTCTCTATGAATTATTCTAAGCCTTGAATCTCGATGGAGATAAAGGAGTCCTCTTGCAATGCCTTCAATAATGCTGAGGCGGGTTCTCCAGTCCAGCTGTGCTTGCTTGGCTTCATCTGCCATAAAGTTTATCAGGAAACAACTGACAGTGCAAAAAAACAGCTAAAAAAACTAGTAAATCCAAGTTTTCTACAGGATATCCGAACACCTCAAAAATAAGGATAACAAGGAATATACCAAAGAGAAAGTTGTCCAAACTTTTATTCGGCATGTATTCGTAAATCAGCATTTTTTCTTCCCCTTGAATGGAGCAGCCCAAAAGTCTAACAAGATTCCTATGCTGCAGTTTAGCAATCAGGATAATCTCATTTTTGAACTCCTCTAAGCCTTGGGCAGATTGTCCTGAAAGCCTCTTTACAGCTATTTCTTGACCTCCAGGAAGCTCTCCCTGGTGATAAGAATAAACAGTAACTGTTATTGCCTTTAATTTGAAATATTACACTCATTAAAAATGTGTAACTACACAAAGTCACCTTGTATACAGCACCAAAACCCCCCTGCCCAATCCTGTTTCCTTCACAAAAGTTGTTTGTTGCAGCTGCCACACAACTAAAATTAAAGATTGGTAATTCTGGCCCGTTAACTTGATTCCCATCCATAAGAATGCCAGATGGTCCTGAAAGATCTGCTGAAAATTCTTTGCTCTTGGACTTAGACGCATCAAAAACTGCTACATCATCATCCTTGCAACATGGCATTGATGAAACTGCAGGCAAACCTGAAAGAAAGAGCTGAAAAATTAATACCAAGTAGTAGACTAGACGGTTTTCTCTACGTTGCCTTCAAAGGAAATCATACCTCATCTCTTTTTTCTTGTTTGAGGGGGAAAAATCTCACCTTTTAGTTTCTTCTTGTTTCTCCATAGTAGCCATAGAGATGCCACCAATAAGCATGCTCCCACCAGAGAAATTATACTTATCACAAGGTTGGATATCCTCCTCCCGCCATCTACGTTTGAAGTGAAAAAGAAAGGTGTTAATGTGTGCAAAAAGTTGTACAAGATGTCCTATGTACGTTCCGTTGTTTAAAGATCCAATTGGAAATATCAAATTCTTGTATACGATTCAACTTTGGTTCAGATTTATGCAGCCAAACACAGCAGAAAATGAGCTAATGATCTCAGCCATTTAGCTAGCGAACATGATATAATTCACCAAATGCCTAAAAAGCACCTATATTTCAAGAATCATAACGCCTACCTGATCTAGAAACTGCAATCTGAAGAAATTTGGCAAGAAAGGGCAAAGTTTGGGAATCAATCCAACTGAAGGGTAAAAATTCACAAAATTTAGGACTACCCTAACAAAAATGAGATAGTGAAAAACTTCTAATGAACCATAACAACAAAAAAAGAAATTGTAGATTACCTAATTCAGAATGATGGACGCGGTAGAAGAACCGTAAACTTCCACCTTGTTCCAAATGCTGAATATCAACCAAGTCTCCTGTCCATATCATGCACCCAATGCCAGAAATAAATGCATACGCATTACATGAACAATTTACCAAGCAGCTTCTTCTACAAGCCTCTAAGTTCCTCGCTGACAACCACAAGTTTGATAAATCGGGTAACTTCATGCACTTCAATTCCTTAAAGCCATCTGGTTTACCATTTTCCGCTGCAGTTCCATTAGTCCTCTGGCACTGCAGTTGGATCCTCCGTTGACACCCACTTGACCAATTCCCTCTTCTCCAGTCATCTGGAAACTTTGGTCTAAACCCTTCTAAACAATTGCACCTTACAGAAGTAACGTTGTCACAGGTCGCATAATTCCCACAATGATTATAAAACTCACATTTATTGTCAGGGTCAGGATGTGTTTGCAAATTTGTCCACTCCTTCCCACCATCATCCCACCTCAACTGCTGTTCCCTCCCATCCCAGCCTATCCGAAATCTCAACAAATCAGAAGGATTTGATGGATTATAAGTAAAATACCGGGTCGTATTTTCATCAGGCTGAGAAAGCTTGAAGCCATATAAGAAACTAGCAATGTTACTCATATTGGGGATACCGGTAAAAATCACAGAATTCCACTGCCCACTTCTCCACCGCCTTCTCATATGATCCCATATTACTATCTGTGGTCCTCCATGAGGATCAACACCCACGGTGTAGTTTCCTGGCGAAGGATCACTGGCTGAGTTCCATGCTCTTAAAGCATGGTACTCTCCTTTTGCAGAATTCACTGGAACTCTCATTCCGGGCAGAAATGTATCAGTTGGATGATCGAAGCTCTGCCAATGGGCACTATCGATATCACCAATACTATCATTGCTTGATAGAACAAAATTTCCTGTATCCAAGAGAATTGCTGCAGTGTTGTTTGATAAACCTGAAACATTAGATGACCAAACTAAGCTGTTATTTCCATCCAGAACAACCAAGTTACCATCAACTCCAATCCTCAAAATTCCACTTCTGCCAGATATTGGACTATCTTTATTTGCAACCCATACAACTGCTTTCACGTCAATCTTATACCATATCCCTACAAATCTAACTGTGGAGTTTTCAGGACTGAAGAATCCTAATTCAAACTTCTCATCCCCAGATATCAATGTGTTGCCGCCATCCCTAACCGTTTGGCCTCGTCTGATTATGTCAACCGCATGGCAAAACTGAGCTAAAGAATAAAGAAGACAAATTAATGAAGGAAGAAAAACAGCAACTGGGTTTTTGTTATTAGTTTCCATATCATAGTCTCTGAGAAACGCAGAGATTAATGAGATGGTAGACAGATTCTTCTTGGTGGAAGTAGATATTAAAATATGTATAGAATTGGGAAAAGAAGATTCAAATGGTGGCCTTGTTGTTGTCTCAGGAATTTGGAGGACAAGTTAGACTGTAAAACCTGCAGAAACCAAGCGAAGAGCTTGAAAAGTTATTCTTTTGGTCGTACCACAGTGTCTCATATGTCAACGTTTTCAGTTTTAAGTTTTTGACCAGAGAAAACATTAAGGTGAGAAAACAACGAATCAGAAATGTTGTTTGATTAGGTGATTCGTCCTACCACGTGCCTTTGACAAGCTCGGAATCTTAAGGTGATGAAAATGATTTGATTGTGAAAAATATTGACCTCAATTTCTCAGCTCAGAAGCATTAATTTCGTAGTAGTTGAGTAATTATGATTTTTGAATCTTCTAAATCTGATGTGAGAGTAAATTCAACGTTCTTAATTTCACAGTACACGTGTTGCCAAGCAACATGTTGCACAAGTAATAATGACCAACCAACTGAATTGAGTGGAAGTTAAAATGAAACAAGTTCAATCCTGAAAAACAAGTCGTATACTTTCTTTTAGACTTCCTCCCCCCTCGAAGTCTACCAATAGTCAATTGATATATAAATATAGTGCTCTTTTAACTTTTTAAAAGAAATTCGATTAACTTCTGCTTGTAAGCATTGATTAAAGATTATTTAATAAATTTTACTAACAAATATTCTTATGATTTATTCATAATAAATTAAAAAAAAATCAGAGTAAAATTGAAACAAGTCATTAGTAATGAATTTGTACCGAAATTTAACAAAAAAAAAAAACCCTCCTTTTTTCCTTAAGAAAATAAACAATTAGGCAAGTAGGTGATGGGCGGCGTTGAAGGCTTGCGGGATGCGGATGTAACTCGGCTTTCTTTGGAGTTTGGAACCACCCATGTGGTACCCAGACTCACAACTTCCCCTACAAGTAAAACATATAGTACCACTGGTGAGAGAGAATTTTTTAAAGGGATAATCATGTAGTAAAAAATTACTACCCACGTGTCTGCATGTCTTAGTCATGATTTATGAAGGTAAGAAAGTTGACTTAGGTTAATATTCATTAAGGAGCCATCCGCCACATAATGGGGACCATGTTCTGCCAGGGGTTTGGACTATTTGGAATGGTATGGACCACGGATTAGAATATATGGACCCTTGGCCATCTGGGTCCAGCTGAGACATGGGGTTTCCAGAAATTTCTTGGTGGGTTTTATAAAAGAGAGGCTTAGTTAGATATATTTCAATATTAGTATTGAATCAAGCGAGGTTTAGTTAGGATATATAGACTAAGCAATTGGATATTTGAGCCGTATTATTTGGACTTGTCAGTTGTTCCTTTGTACTGGAACACGTTGTCAGAAGGTTCAATGGATACAAGGATAAGAAAGATTGTCAAAATAATGTCAATCACTAGACAACTAGTAGTAATAAAATAGTGGGGTTTTGGCAGGATATTGAGTGCCGAGTAGATCAGCAGACACTGGACTATCCTATTAATGGAATATTTACTTTTTCCTTGAGGTTTATGAACTAATTTAATTCTTTCCATATGTTCTTTCGCTTAATTTTTTACATGAAACGGATGACCAGGAGACTGCACGAGGCTTCTGTTAAGTCCTGATGATATAATATTCAAAGCATTAGTTTTAAGAAGCAAACAAAAATGGATCCAACGAATGGTTGAGAAATGGTCGTTCGTAATGCTATCATTTTGTATTATTAAAAATAAGAAAGAAGCAATGAATAACTGCTCGATAGAATTTGTTTAAGTAATGGAAGGTGGACTTGATTTAGAGTTAAACCACTATAAGGAATAATTATAATCAAGTAAAAAGACAAAACTTGGTTAGATAGGAAAGATTAAATAACTAGGTAACAGCTTGGAATTGACGAAAAAAACATGTTCCAAGTCTCACGCTGCAAGTCTGAAACAGCGAAAAACTGGTTCGTATCAATTTTTGACAACTTGAGGTTTTTGTAAGCTGTAAGTTTTGGGAATATGTGGGGATTTTGATTTTCGATTAAATAAGATACCTGTGACCTTGCATGTTTATAAAATTTATCTCATGAGTATGTGATCCTACAATATGCATCATCAAAATCTTATAAACAAATAAATTTATGAAAATTATAAGAGATCATCTACCTTTTAAAATTAATCCGCTATTAAATGCTTGTACTTCTAGTGATATGAAATGTAGTGCTTTTATATCCAAATAATAAAAATCAAATGTATTGATTGGTGAACAAGTTATTTACCTAACAAAAATTTTAACTATCAACAAAAGGAGCTTGTTTTGGTGCTCAACAGTCTTTACCATTGAAAATTGTGAATGATGTAACTTATTAGCTTGTCTGTGAGTGATCCGTGGCAGTTTTCTCACCAATGAATGGGGGTTGCTTTTTGTAAGAAGGTTTTTTATCTTGCTACTGAGCATCAAAGTCACTGTTGACATGTTGGCCTATCTTTCGCGAAATTTTGCACACATAGCAGGCCCACATGTATGCATCTCGAAATTTCCCTGTAAAAACTTGGGTCGGAGATAGGTAGATCTATCAAAGACAATATGTTGTCCTCACTCGACAATGTTGTCCTCACTCGACAATTTCCATGCCTGAGATTAATAAAATTGCAGATTTGGTTAAACTGTTAGGCATTGGAAATTCGGAATTCAAGTTTTATAGTTAATGAACAATGGAGTGACCAGAATTAAGACTTACTTATCCCAAAAGGTTCAATGAATGCTCATTGTCATGAAAGCTAAAAACATCAGATTTTTCTGAAAATTGTCCTTAATTTGCATATTTGGTTGCCATGTAACCACTGAATTTCATCATTCAAATGCGTGCAAGATGATTATTTTGGCTTAAACAGTGATGTTAAAAAAAAATCTAAAGACTTGGATGAAGAAACAATAGCTTACTCTGTACCAAAAATCATCCTAGCATTGGCTTGACCAAAAAATTATACCTAGAGTAGATACTAAAAGGAATGTATAAACCAATGCTTCCAAATGTGATTTACAATTATAATTTCTGTACCTATTTATTTGGAATCATCTCCTGAATAAAATATAGAAGAATAAGAATAAAAAAAATAGTGATTTTAATTAAAATTGTTCCAACAGCCTATGTCAAATAAATAGAAGCGAAAAATATCAAAGCAATCTTGCATCAGACTACTTGTCGTCTTGTAGTTGGATCTTCAAGTTTTTGGAATGCTCCAAATTTCACTTAAGCATCCGAAACGAAACTACATCAACACCGGTGAAAACTTTTATTGCCATAAGAAATCTTTGCTAATCCAACATCTGAAATTTTTGCATTTAGTTCTTCATCTAATAAAATATTACTTGCTTTTAAATCTTTATGTACAATTCGTAATCTGGAGTACCTGTGAAGATAGGGAAGACCTCGACTAATTCCTTATATTATGTTAAAACGTTTTCTCCAATCTAGAAGTTTTCGTTTTCATGAATCTGAGTGAATTTCACCAAAAAACCAATTAGTAGTATTCAAGTAGTTCTAGAAGCACAATGATACTTTTTTAATGGATCATGCATAGATCTATTTTTAACAAAATTTTTTGCAAGTTATGGGATTAATGTAACATTTAAAAATGACAGAAAGGTAGGGTTGTGAACATGCTCTAACCAAAGAGAAAAACATCCAAGCTCTTATTTGGCATATATTCATAGACTTGCATATTTTCTTCCCCATCAATGCAGCTTCCAAGAAGCCTTACTAGATTCCGGTGTTGAAGTTGAGAAATCACAGTTGCCTCGTTCATGAATTCTTCTATCCCTTGTCCAGATGCCCTTGAAAGTCTTTCACTGCTGTTTCCTATTAGAAATCCAGGACTTGAACAATCTTCACAAACTTGTAATTGATAATGATCTTTCACTTTTGACTTCGATTATTGTCTTCCCTTCCAAGATTTGGTTGATCTTAAGATGAAATCTTCAAAGAACAAGAAAATGATTTCAAGGCATACTGAAAATATCACTTTTCTGAAGTTTTATTTCCTTCTTACCAATTAAGGATTCGTCTCTATCAATTATAATATACAAATATAACTGAAATACTTCCAAGATATAATGAAACCTATTTGATTTCACTTTGCACTTGCGATATCAAACTATCTTTATCACCACATTTTTTTAATCCGGCAAGCTTTGTTTTTGTGGGCTAATTGGCTAAAACAGTGCTTAACGTCCATTGGTATATCTGTTGGCATTTGAAAAGTGCTAGTAAAACAAAAATCAATCACTACAATTTTACATGCCTGAAAGGTACTAATAGCCTGATTATGAAATAGCTAGATCAAGCATAAAAGAGATACATACATACATACATACATATATATATATATCATCTATAATTTATTATACATAAAAGTGTGAACTCCAAAAATATTAATATTGATTGACTTAAATAGTCCTATAAAATTTTAAATTAACAAATTTATCTTTAAATATATAATTTTTTTTCAATTTATTTAAGTTTAATTTAAATAAATTAAAATTAAAAATAGAGTTACTGTGAAATTAAACTATTTAAAATTTTAAAATTTTAATTCTAAAAGTTTTAAAAATATTCATAGTAAATATTCTTATAAATTTTAATTTAAATGAATTTTTTATTATTAAATTCTTTTTTTATAATTAGACTAAAAAAGTGCTAAAAAATGATTGACTAAAATACTCTTAACGAAATTTTAATTTAAAAAATGTTAAAAGTGATCAATTAAAATACTATTAGTAATTTCTTATAAATTTTAATTTAAATGATTTCTTATATTATTAGACTTTTTTTTTATAATTACAATGATTTTTTTACATTAAATGAAAATATAAATAAAACAAGATCAAAGCTTAGTGTGTATAGGAATAAATTAATTAAATGGAGTTTGTTTATTTAGTTGTTGAAAAACAATTGCATAATTAGTTTATATTGATAAATAAATTCATTAAAGATAAACATAATTAAATTTTTGAAGCATATTTGTTTTTTTTTTCTATTTTTTCCTTTCAATTTTTTAATATATTAACTATATATGGATGTTAATGATTTTATTATTTATATGTTTTATGAGTTGATTGTTTGATCATTGATAACATAATTAAATCTATTTAGTTTCTTGAAATAATTTGTTAACATATCATTTTTATAGTTTAGTCTTACCTTTATAATTAAGTTCTCCTTTACATTTTTTTCCTATAAAATTTTATAATTATTGTTCTCATGAACAAAAACTAATATTAAATCAAATGCAAATTAATTGTATTCCCTCCACTAACATTTAGCACTATGTGATTTAATGAACACTTTAATCGAACTTTTCACCTACAAAATTAGATAATTCAAGA